TATTTAATTGTAAGTTGTTGTGGTAGATATATGTACTAAAAGCTACGTGTTATCATTGAGGTGATCATTATCGTTGAGGTGATAGGCCCGTGCGGAGCACGGGCAATTTCATTGAAATTCTGCTACAGCAGCCGTTGGGCCCGAGTAATGTTCCTTGAATACTACCATACAAAACTGTCTACATCTCACCCTGACTCGTTTGATGGAGTACTCTAAGGCATAAGGGCACAAAACGAACTCGTTGTCAGATATTGCACTTTTCGTGGCTTGTCGGCGATTGTGGAGTGTTGCTTTGTACCTCTTTTTTTTCCCGTCAACCACGTTCCGCAGTTGCGAGATGCATACCATAATGAAAAGTTGAATACAAAATGGTGAGTATTTGCCCATTGAATGTATCGAGTGCATTCAGAGAAGAAGTTACCGCACTCCACAACACCGACACACCAAGAAGTCAGCGTACCTCACGGCAAAGCGTCTGGTTGCATCGCCCAGTGGGAAGCTTGATTCTGAATTCGGGGTTGATGATCAGTACTTCCGTCGAGTAGAGATTGGTGTATTAAGGTAAAATGGCTGAGTGGAGAGAAACACAATATGCAGAGGTGAAGTTCCAAAAGGGTTCTTCTCGTAGCTCCAGTACGCCACTGGAGCTAGGGCTTCAAATATAATATAGTTCTTTTTCTTCTAAAAGGTATCCTAAAATCTTGCATGACAGATGAACTGCTCCTGCATGGTTGTAACGAATGCTACGATTGGAGGAAGTTGAACTATAGAAAAGAGTTGGCAAGCTGCTCGAAGTACTTTCTAGCGGCACTTAAGGGAACATTTGCGCCCTTTGAACGTTCCTTGTCGGTGAGCTGTCTCTCGAGATGCTTTTCCAAAACTTCAATTGTAGTGTCCTCGTGAGGCTGGTTTACAATCTGCAGGCTCATACTGTCACTATCCGCTTCGCGGCCGCCAACGACGATGATGTGGTTGTATTTCTTTCCTCTTGCTTCTGCAATCTTCTTGCCAAGGGGGCGATCACTTGTATCGGTGTCCACAGGAAGGTGAATGGTTGACAGAGGTAGAGGCTTTGGTGATGATGGTGACGCTTCGGATGCGTCTTGTGATCTCAAACCTGACAGCACTGATTGGACGCGCGAGACATGTTCCAAAACCTCGGGGTTAGAATTCAACGATAGTATTACAGCCGGTCGAGGAGAAAGCCAAAAGGGATATTTTCCCGCATAGTGTTCAATGAGCAGGGCCATGAAGCGCTCAATTGATCCGTAGATAGCACGGTGGATGATCACAGGGCGGCGAAATGCCGCGTCAAGACCCTTATCCATAGAACTCTGTGAGCGTGTCTCTAACTCTTCGGGGGATGCCTGATATTGCAGATCGAAACGTTGTGGTAGTTGAAAGTCGAGCTGAATGGTAGCCGTTTGATGTTCTTTGCCATTTGAATCCTTCAGGACGATATCGATCTTGGGGCCATAGAATGCTCCGTCTCCTTCGTTGATGGCCCATTCACTACCGATATTGTTTAGCGCAGTTGTCAATTGCTCCTCTGCGCGGTCCCATTCTTCAATAGTGCCAATGAAGCTATCCTTTGGTCTTGTGGACAGAAGCAACTTGTATGGCCCTAGTCCAAACGTGTTGTATACCATGCCTACAAACTTGAGTGTTTGCTCAATTTCTGCCAAGATCTGATCAGGGCGACAGAAGATGTGCGCGTCATCTTGGTGGAATCGCCGGACCCTCGTCAAGCCCGTTAATGCGCCTGAGATTTCGTTCCGATGCAATGCACTGAAATCAGCAAGTCTGACTGGCAGATCGCGGTAACTCTTGATTTCGTCTCTAAACAACAAGCAATGGCCTGGACAGTTCATCGGCTTCAATCCAAACTCGCCATCCTCTCCACCGTCAGCTTCAAGTATTTGAGCAGTCGTTCCCCTCCCTTGGACACTGAACATGTCTTCGGCATAGTTTTCCCAATGCCCAGACTTTTCCCAAAGCGACTTCTTGTATATTATGGGCGTGATCACCTCTTGGAAGCCAAACTGGGGGTATTGCGCGCGTAGGAAGGATTGCAGCTTCTGGAAGACATAGGCGCCATTGGGAAGAATGAGCGGCGAGCCAGGACTATATGGCGAAGTTATGAAGAGGTTGTGCGTTTGCGCGAGCGTCCGGTGGTCTGTAGGAGGGGTAGGAGGGGTAGTGGTTGTTGTGTTGAGTCCCGCACTGGCGGGGTCTTCAGATGAGACGGTTACTGTGTGCTGCAATTGCTGTGGCGCAGAGCACGAGCAGCTCCTCGCAACGAGACGCCCATATTGGTTCCATATCCGGGTATTTATTTTTGTCTGTCTCACAGCCTGCAGCGCGAATGGAAGCTGGCGCAATGGTGGCATTGCAAAGTCTTGAGCCGTCGAGTGCATTGACGTGAAGGTCAAGATGCACTTTCTAGGCTAGCGCGCCTTGGCATAGACTAGCCCAAACAAAACATAGCACAATGACGTGGACGCGTTGGAGGGATAGACAACACCACCCCCCACCTGTGTACACTTACATACATGCATACATACATACATACATAGACTACATACTCTAGTAATAACACAACAGGTAATGCGCCACGATTCTTGTCTCAACCATGTACTGATAGTGAAAGAGTCTTGACATTTTCGCGGCACACACAAAGGCATGCAGCTTGCGCCCGACACCTGATTGGCCCCGCACCACGTCACGCCTCTAGCAGTGGCGACCTGTTCTACCCAGCCCCCCTGCAATCAGAGTATATTCACGTCCAGTGAAAGTTGAATCGTCACTGTGACATTGCTTGCCTAGTTCTTATATTTTTTCCTGCACTGCCTTCTTGTCCTAACCTTGGCTCTGTATCCGCTTGACGTCAACTTCTCCATCACATATCATGAGCGCGCGCACCAGGCGCCTAGATCGCAGCCTGGGAAGTAGTTGGGGCAACGCTGACTATACATCTGACGAAGGCGGCTCTACTCCTTCGGCGAGCGACGCTGCTAGTGACGAAGAACTAGAAGCTTCAGACAAAGAGGTCGTGCAAGAGCCTGTCTCAGACTCCATTGTTACCCCCAGGCCCAAGCGCCATCATCTCAGTCATTCGACGCCCACAGCGCAGTCACAGGATACCCTAGATAGGAAGCAGGCAAGCCGTACAAAAGGTAGCCAGTCCCAGAGGATAGGGCCCGATACAACTACTCCCAGACCTTTTCAGAGAGACCAAAGATCGCATACACGGGACTCTTCTGGGCCCAGCCTCATCATGCCCTCCATGGAAAGCTCAGGTTATGACGGATCGCCTGCCCAAAAATCGCAACCTCGAAATCGAACCAGAAATACGCAACAGAGCGCTTCATCAAATCCACGCCGTACGCCTCGCAGATCCTCCGCACAGGGGTCAACTGATGGCCATCGTCGGTCACCAAGGCAGAAACAGGAAGAAGTAAGCCCGTGGCACTATGTCAATCTCTTTTGGGAAAATGTGGGTGCTCCCATCTTTGGTCACTTTCTGGATATTGTCTCCTACGCTGTCAAACACTTCATCAAGCCTTTTCTCGGTGTTATCTTGGGCGTTGGGATCTTGGTATTTGCGATTCAGCTGGCATCCGGTATGCTTCGCTCCACGATCTCAAACGCCGTCATGGGTCCTGTGTGCGCCCTACCAGGCTCTTCCTACCTCATCCCCGCTTGCGCTACTGCAGATTCATTTGCTGGGAACCAAGCCGACTTCGAAGAGCTTATCAATGTCCAAGGCAAGTTTGAGGATATTCTTGATGCATCAAAAGACACATCGGCGCTGCCTGCGACAATCAAGAACTCTGAGCTCGCTATTCGCGATCTGCGCATCCTCGTGAAGCATTCGCGTCTTCCTAGCCGAAAAGCGCTAGAAAACGAATTCGAATACTTTATCCAAACGGCAAATGAGGCCTCCGTCGATTTATCACGGTACAACAGCCGGATAGGTGCTGCAATGGACCGCGTCATCGCAACCAACACCTGGACCATGAACGTGCTCTCAGGTATTTCAGAGCAAGATGCCTCTGTTGGCACTGTCGGAAAGATAATCCGCCAGATGACGGGCGCATTTGTCGCGCCGCCGCCTTCACTCCAAGAACGCATCTTCGACCAATATGTGCTGCACGTGAGCAAGAACAAGGACGAAATCACACGACTGATTGAAACCGCCCAAGCGCTTCTCCTCGTCCTCAACAATCTTGAGGAACGTTTGACCACCATTTTCGACATTGCCACCACCGACGACCAGTCCATTACCCGCTCTCAGGAAGAACTCCTGTCATCGCTTTGGACAAAACTCGGTGGCAACCGTGGCAACGTCAAAGCAAACAAGCGATCGCTCACCCTCCTCTCTAACATCAGCGCCTACCGCCAAAAAGCTGTCGTGCACGTTTCCGAAACGCTGCTCAAGCTCCAAGAAATTCAAGCCGGGCTGGAAAATCTGCGTGAAGGCGTTGCGGCGCCTGAGATGCTGGGCTACAAGAGTGGAATTCCTGTGCAGGTGCATATCGATACTATTGGTAAAGGGGTTGAGAGACTGCAGGTTAGTCGAGGAGAGCAGTTGAGAGCTGAGGGGGATACATATAGGAGACTTATGCGGGGCGCTGAGGATGCGGATGGAAGAAGGGAGTTGCCTGGACCGACTGTTGTAGTGAGGGCGAGATAGCGGGATTGTGTGTTGTAACAATCTTTTTCTTTTTGCCTAGAGTGCGTTGTTGCTTGGCTACTCCATGTTGCAAGCGTTGACGGACTTTCCATTGCCCTACTAGATTTCTTTTTGTCACATATGGTAGCAATTCCTAGATACCCTTTACTTTTGGTCCCTTATACATTCAGCCCCAAGAAATGTCTCTCACCCTAATACATCTGCACCTCAACCAAACATCTCCTCACCCCGCCCTCTCCCAATCCCTCAAACTCGAGTTCGCTTGCTACACAACCCCGCCGACTGCACTCTTCCCTGAAGCCATCGACACTGCCCCCAACGCCAAAATAGACTCGCTTGGCCGCCACGAGCGTCTTGCCCATCTTGACGCGGCCCATAAGCGCCACGATAGCATCAGCAAACGCCGTCAGCGACGCAGGACTGTAAATAGTCTCTGAGCCGAGAATAAAAGTGTTGAGATCAGGCGACGAAGGAATCAGCGGCAGCAAAGCGGACGTCGGAGCCCAGGAGCCCGAGAGAAAAGTCAGTGTAATACCAATACTTTGCAGGCAAGCTTTGAATGATTCAAGCAGCGCAGGCGTAGTGTATAAATCCGCGTATTCCTCTTCACCACCAGCGTGCTGATCCTCAGACGAAACTTCATCGCGTAGCAGCGGATTCGGCGTATCTTCCGCAAACAACTTTGCACTCTCTTCTCGACTCAACGTCGCTGCCCATGCCAAGACGAGATTCGGCAGCGTAACGCACCGCAGTACATCAGCATTGTAATCTGTTAGCGTAAAGTAAATCCCTAACCCTTCTCTTATCGCGTACTGGAATAATAGCAACGAGGGTAGTGCACTCCCACATCCCATTTCAATCACGTGGCCCACGCGCACCAGGTCGTCGAGATCTTTCCGTGGGCCCCGGTCCAGCAGGAAGCGCACGAGGTCCAGACTGCATTCCCACGTCTTGTAGCCGCCTTCGTAGACGTTTTGCTGCAGATCGCTGGACTCGAGGCCCGATAAGGGGGATGCGGTTGTGCCGTCGTCTTCGGCCATGAGTTGCAGGCGCACATCGAAGAGTTCGCGGCGGGGGAGGTGAGCGGTGCTGCCTTTGGGGGAAGTGAGGGAGACGGTGGAAAAGGAGATTTTGTCCGGGAGGGTGGAGAGCTGAGGTTGGTGGCGTGTTTTAGTAGGTTGAGTTATTGTAAGACTGAACAGAGCAACAATGAATTTGAAAAGATATTGAAACAGCACACTTTGCTGACTGTTTATCCCCGTCTTTGGATATAGAAATGAAATTTCTTGCCAACCTACCATTTTATCCAAGTCATGAGTTCGAGCGGCAATGGGCGGCGGCACATTGCTTTTCACAGCACCTGTCTGCTGCCCACTCTGCTCCTGCACATCATTCAAATCCTCTTCTATGTCATCGCCTGAAAAGCCAAAGCTAAACGCCATTGCTGATGGGGTGCGCAGATAGTTTGATAGTCGAATCGAGCTTAGTGTTCGGAGAGTGCCAGGCACGTTGGACCCAGCAAGTGGGTTGGCGGGGTGCAGAAAGCATGTGAAAGATAATTTTGGGCTTATCGATAAGACGGTGGGTTGTGCACGGGTGAATGTGGAATGGAATGCATACCCAAAACTCGCCCAATGGTACCTATTGTTATTGAGGCGTGGTGATATACACATGTATATGGAGGGAGCCGACAGAGGTTTGAGTGCGCAAGTGTTTTGTTTTCTTCATATTAATTGCTCCTGTGCCCGCAAAAAGAGATCGTAGTCTCATTACTTCGTACATGTGTGCGACGCGGTGGTGACAGGTTGTTTCCACCACTCCATTGCAGCATCAACACCTCTGTGTTTTTGTCTGGCCCAAAAATGCAAAGGCCTACTCCTTTTTTACGTCGATTCCATTTTCATCCCCGTTCCCTGCCTGGCGATCCTCCGCTATGGTCCTCTCGAATTGCCTTGCGCACGCTTCCATGGTGTCCTTGTCTAGCTCCCAACCTGTTGTGTCGATTCCCTTTGCTTTTGCGTCATTTATGATTTGCTGCCGCTCCATAATCTTCTCGCGCATGAGCTTGATTGCGCCGCCTAGCACAACAGCCTCGCTTCGTCCCTGTCCTTGTAGCCCTGGTACGATGGAGGCAAGTCGGTCGAAGCCTTCTCTGATTGCCTCGCGTCGCTTCTGCTCGGATCGGATGTGATTCTCCTTCTTTTGGGCTTCTGTCAGGCGCGGCCTGTCAGCGGCATTGGTTGGACTTTGAGATGCTGGCATGGCGACACGTGGGCTTATATCGTGTGATGGACAAAAGAGGTTGCTGGTACGGACAGCGTTCCCGGACAGGCGAGACTATCCGGCCCAGTTGGAGGGATTGTGCTGTTTTCGTGGCGCGTGCAATGCGTGAATACGAGAGGCTATTGTTTGTTGGATGTCGAAGCGTTGAGCGCAATGACTGCGTGAGCTATGGAGGAAAGTAAGCGGGAGACGTGAGTGACATGCTCCTTTGGGACTGCAAAGGCAAAAGAACAAGAGGGAATGGATAGGATCCACAAGGGTCCACGCGAGGCTATACTATGAGCCTCGCGACCGTTTGGTGATGTTGCGAAAGGCACGCAGCGCGACGGGTGACATTCATGTGAAGACGCCAACGCGCCCGAGCTTCATGCCATCTCGGCTACACTAAAGTACAACGACCGGCAGCGTGAGCCGGCGAAATAAAGCGAATTTCCTTGTGGTGCTACATGAGCGGGAAGCGAGTAAGATGGAAATGGCGTCTTGGTTGCATCGAGGCGGAAGATGTCTAGACTCTCCAGTGAGTCTGTCCAAGCAGACTCGCTATCCATGGGTGTGTGGGCGTGGTGAAGAGGTGCGTGCATGTGCCCTGGGAAGACAGCGGTGAAGGGCTGGCGGAATGCCGAACAGCAAACGGCATTGGTTCTGGCAAAACGCTCTCATCTCATCTCGTCTCTGGCCAGCATGTCACCCAGACGATTATTACACTCGCGGCTAATTTACGCTTTGTTTCAAGGCTGACTTGAGCGTCCAACGGCGACTGTGAGGCTCGTCGCCCCCCCTGCCCACTGAGCAGCGTGTGACGCACTGTGGTGGAGCTGCCGCCGCGCCACCAGCAGCGACCCCATTGCCCACGACGCGACGCCCAGAGACACACCGTCGATCGTCTCACACCTGTGTCAAGAGCGACAAAAAAATCCAAAAAAGAAAAAAGAAGACGACTAGGCTAGGCGCAGGAATACATCATAGTGTGCTTGCAGGCGGCGACAGCACAAGAGAAGGGTCGGGTTGGGTCGCTCTGCCCCCCACTACTGCTGGACAAGGTGCCTCGTTCCACTGGGCAGCAGCGGCCGCCCCGTAACACGCATACATACGTACAACACCATCACCACCACCCCCCCCGACCACCCCGACTGCGGCCCTGACATGCGCCCAACCGCGGCCACACGCCCTTGCCCACCCCATTGATCCCTCGCACCCTCGCACAGCCATGGACAGCGTCCGCGGGAGCAACCGTCGCATAAACAGCCTGCAGACCCGCGAACGTCTGCGCAGCAACAGCTCGGCCACGCTGCGTGGAAAGCGCCCCGTCACCGCCCAAGATGCCTACCTCTATGCCCTGCGCGTCGCATTCCTCGCCTACCTGCTGCAGCCCCGTCAGAAGCGGGTGCAACATGTCCCCTCGGCCCCCAAGCAGGTCCAGCGCTCGTCGACGTCCATCAACGACCTGATGAAGGACTTCTCCCTTATCAGGGACTCCAAGAGCACCCGCTTCCCCCGCGACTTCATGGCCGCCCTCGACAAGCGCATCACAAAAGTCCTCATGGGCCAGGAGCGCATGCCTGAGTTCCAGGATGCCACCGTCAAGCGCACCTTTGCCGTCTTCCTCAATGCCTTCAAGGACCCCTCGTTTCGAAAGAACATGGACAAGGATAGGCGAGTTGAGGACTTGCTCCTCATCTTCTACTCGAACGCCACAAAGGAGCTGCAGAAGGGAAAGGCCCCGACCGACGATAGCTGGAAGCTCATGGTCGACCGCCATGTCGCTCTCTTCCTTCGCCTCGTCAGCTCCATCCTTAGGGATCACGACTGGCAAAGGGACCGCCCCGAGCTTGCCCAGAGACTTATGACCATGGAGAAGAAGCTGCTAGTGCACGACCAGGATCTCGCCGCTGAGAACCAGCGCAACGGCGGCCAAGGAGGCACAACAATTGAAGTCGAGATTCCCCGGAGCTACGAGGTCAAGGATATGCCCCTTGTCCTGGTTGTCTCGCGCATCTTTTCTGTCAGCTACTCTGATGTGCAGAACGACATCAACAGACACAAGTCTGTGTGGACCGAGAAAGCCGCACTACAAGATCTGAAGACATACCAGGCCCATCTCAGTCTCATGACAAAGAAGACGCTCAATGCCGAAGACTTTGACACTGAAGAGGCATACGAGGCATGGAAGAACCAAGAAGTGCCAGACCTTTCGCAGATGATTTTGGCAATCATCCAATCTAACCCTGAACTAGCAAAGAGCTCACCTGGCGGAGCTGTACCCCAGTTTAAGCCAAGAGCACCAATGGATGCAGGCTATGCAGACGCCTCCAGACAAGGATCCATGTCTTCGGAAAGTGGCTCTTCGTATGTGATTGACCAGCCTGTAGACATGAGCGGGCTTCACATCAACGACGACTCTGACCAGGACTCGTCGTATACTTTTATTCCCTCCGATCCACGTGCTACTTACCGTGCGATACTGAACGAAGCGCTGAAACATGACCTGGCTGATTCTGAGCTCGAACCGACCGAAGCAACCGCTGAGAGCCCGTCTGTGAAACTGTTGTCAAAGCAATCCGCCGAGCTCCTGAATGAAATAGCCCTTCGGTGGAGGATACCCCAGTTCTCACGGCTCGTCTTGTTCATGGACGTTGTGTGCGAACGATACACCAACCAGGAGGTTGACTTGGATACCCTCGATGCAGCCTTCAACTACGTCAAAGAACCACCGCCAGTAGACAAAAGGGCTAGTCGTATGAGCTTTGTCCCAGTCCAATCATCCCTCTTTGACCGGACTAAGTGGACAATTCACGACTATGCACTTAACCAGCAGATCTTGTCTGCATTGCATGACTGCCTATTGCGTGAGCTGTATGAGCTCATGATGCACGTGTACGAGTCTAAGCCACCTCCCCTTGGCCCAGTGATGTATGTCTTGGAAAATCACATTTATGACGACCCCACATTCCCAGGTACAGAGGAAGAAATGGACAAATTCACTGAGCAGTTACGCCAAGGCCTGAGAGAAAAGGCTGGTGATGTGTATCGCGAGCTTCTTGCGAAGCACATACCGGACACCAAAGAAGAGTGGGAGTTCTATCACGTCATTGAGCTTGGTCGTGCCGTTGTCAAATTGTGTGAGCGGATACAGAAGCGTTACCGCAAGAATCCAGAAGTCATGGGTGCCAGTCCAATGATGTGTCTTGTGGAGAAGATCTTTCCTGCATATGCTGCTGATGCGCGAGACCTGGTCGCTCGGATCATGGACGTTGCCCATAGCAAAGGAGAAGATGTCCCGATACAGGATGGGTTTGACTTGTACAAGGAACTCGTCGAAATTCGTCGCATTCACAGCGACGCGTTACCGGGCAAGAATTTTGCTTTCAGTATCGAAGACCAGCTGCAGGATTTTGTATGGAGATGGATACAGATGACGGATGAGAATCTGACTGGCTGGGTGGACAACGCGTTCAAGGCAGATTCTTTCCAGATTGAATCGCAGAATCCCATACCCATGGATGACGAGAGGCATAGCGTTTCGGTTGTTGATGTTTTCCGATCCTTCAATCAGAGCATTGAGCAAATTGTCGCCCTGAATTGGGATAATGACGTACATTATGCCAAGTTCATGACAGCTCTTTCCAAATCGATTGGCGCTGCCCTTGCGAGGTACTGTGAGCTTGTGGAGCAGAAGTTTGCCCGGGAAATGGACCGCTTGACGCCTGAGCAGGAAGCTGCTGCCAATCAGACCAGACAAGAGAAATGGCTTTCTACTGTCAAGGACTTTTACAGCCAAAAGGAGAAGATTGAGCCTTTCCAATTCTACCCCGAGGTAAGTCACCCATATAGTTAGGTAGACCCGTGCTGACAGAACCAGTCTCTTGTCAAACTCAACAACATTGAGTACGCCATGCAACAGCTAGATAAGCTCGAGCGCGAGATTGGTGTCGATGCTTGCGCTGAGGTTCTCCAGAAGAATGCCCCACCCCAGCCTCAACGCCTTCGCAACAATAATTTTGTCTTCACTATCAAAATTATCGAGGCTGAGGATCTGAAGGCGTGCGACATCAACGGGCTTAGCGACCCGTATGTAGTGCTTGGTGACGAGTACCAGAAGCGCCTAGCTAAGACACGAGTCATCTACCGCAACTTGAACCCTCGCTGGGAAGAGACCATT